GTATAACGACGATTGAACTAATTCGGGAAAACATCGGGATCGATTGATAACAGAAACACTACAGGATTTTATAACGATAACAGAAACGAGTTCAACAACAAGCGTTTTTTCTTTCTCTTTTTTTTCGTGGTTTTTTTTCGTGTTTAATTTTTTTTAGCTAAAATAACGATTGCAGGTTTGAATATAAAGGAGGTTAAGAACTGAGTTATTTTATGTATAAAAAAAAATTGAAAATGAATTGGAATGGAATGGGGTATGTAAAACGATCTGATCCAAGCCTAACAGGGGGGGGGGGGGCAAGTCGATGGAAACTACCCGCAAGAAACAAATAAATAGATCCTCTCGTACGAATCATTTCCCCCAATAACGATCAAACTTTACCAGCTATTTTACCGACCGATTGACTGTGAAAACCTTGAATCACCCATCTTGAGATCTTTTTTTCCTCTGCACCTGGCATTGACTAGAATTTGAAGAGCCTAAATAAAAAAAATAACAGTTCTTTCCTTCTTATATTTCCTTTTCAGATCGTTGTTTTAGTTAATAATCGCGTTGTCGAGAGCCCGAGCCGACGTCGGGAACCTTGATCCCAGTTCCACCTTCCAACCAGTCTTCTTCGATCTCGAACGGACAGTAATCGAGTGTGGATTCGGTCTGATTAGAGGGCGACGGGGACGGCGATCGTGAAGCCCAAGGGCTGTTTGGTTGCGGAAGATGGCTCGAGCCGGATGGCCTGAATTGATCCATCGGGGTATCTTGGCTGACTTCAAGCCGGTGCGGAACCCCGGCAGTAGTCTCGCCACCGTCGTTGTGTCTCATCGGGAAAGCGGGACCCCCATCGGTGCTGTAGTAGGGCATCATCGGAGCCCTCGTCGGAGTGGAACCTTGGATCCTGATCGGTCGGAGCCCGCGGCGGCGACGCCCTGAATAACGAGGAGGTGGAGTCTCCAAAAATGCTTCATCGTCGGATGTATCTAAACACAAACATTAATAACGCGACTTCAGTTCATCTCCTCACACACTAACAATCCCTTCATCCTATATCAGCAACTGGACCTTGAACATACCCTCAGCTCGCGAGAAAATGTCGGATAGTGGCGTCGATGCCCCCGACGTAGCACGAGAAGAGTCATCTATGTGCAAACAGTATAAGAAACGGACTTCAATTGATCTCTTCTATCACTCATGACTTTTCATTCTTCCAGCAGCAGCATCAGAAAATGGACGTTACACATACTCTCGGTGGGCGTAGATGAGTTGGTGTCGAATATCGATCGCTCCGACATGGATTCAGTCTCAGAAGATTGGTCCGACATGGATTCATCGGTCTCCGAAAAGTCACCTAGAAACATAAGAAACCAATACTAATTCATTTTCTCATTCCCTAAAAAACTTTTTTTTTCTTCCCTCGGCCATCAAGAAATTGGCATTCCACCTGCACTCAATCTACCCAGGTAGGTAACAGAATCGAACGATACGAACGAGGCATCTTATACTGCTCATTTGCATTGGGTAAAGGTTTGGCCCTAGACCTTTCTTTTTTTTTTTTTTTTTGGAGGGGGGGGCGACCCGTGATTGCATTGGGAAAGCTGCGAGTCCATAATATACTGGGCACCAAGCTTGCCGATCACCGAACACA